CTATATTATATAAAATTAGGCTGGCATGGTGGCACGATGCCTGTAGTCCCGGCTACTTGGGAGGCTGAGGCAGAGGATTGCTTGAGCCCAGGAGTTTGAGGTTGCTGTGAGCTAGGCTGATGCCACGGCACTCACTCTAGCCTGGGCAACGAGCAAACACTGTCTCAAACGACAAATTTTTTTTTTTTTACACAAAAACAATAAGCAAAGTAGTGCTGGTTTCCTGGAAGCCAGATAGCGAGGATGACAGAAACCAATATGCTTTCCTTGATTGAGAAGGAAATATATTAATAAATAAACACCCATCAGTACTATGTAAATAAACAGGACCTTTTTTTTTTTTTGAGACTTTCTTCTTAATATTTGGATAAACTGTATCTACCCAACATTATGACCAAGAAATTGTGTTTGACTAAGTCACAGCTTAAACCAAGCTTCAGACAGGGCCAGCCTGTGACGTTGATATTCCATGCAACCAATGAATCTCAAGCCAAAGAGCTTTGTCCAGTTTCCGAGACTATTAATAAATTTAGGAGTAAGCGTATCTTTTTATTATTATTCACCCTTTGTTCTATTCAGAAATAAACAACATTCACTGTCTTCTTAACTTACCATGGAATAATGGAACAGATATAATTCTTGCCACATTATACATTCTTTTTTCTTATTGTTCTTCTCCTATGTATTTCAAGAAGCCTTATACAATTCCTTTCTCTCATTCCTTTTTCCTGTACATAATATCAATCTATCTTTTTCACCTTGTAATGGTAAACAGCTTCCCTGAAACCACTCAACTGGCTGCACCATATGCTATATTAGTTGGCCAATTAATTTCTTTCTATTTATAGTAGAGACGGGGTCTTGCTCTTGCTCAGGCTGGTTTCGAACTCCTGACCTTGAGCAATCCGCCGCCTCAGCCTCCCAGAGTGCTAGGATTACAGGCGTGAGCCACCGCGCCCGGCTGTGCTTTATGTGTTTTGATCATCACCATGCTAGAAGGACTCTTTCAAATGCACAATTCCAGTTGCAGAATTTTGTTTTGTAGTCTGCATGTGGCAACCAGAATCTTTTAGGGTGATCAATCATAGTAATAAATATTCAAGAATCCACCTGGACATTTCCTTTTGGTGGATTTTTATGTCTTTTCCAAGGTCAAGGAAGTGGATCTTCAATCATATGGATTTACTACTTTTACTTTCACTAAAGTTTACCATGTTTGCCAATCATTAATATTACGATAATGAATCTAACTTTTACCACTTCTGGTATCAAGTTATCTAATAAATAAAATACATTTTTCATTTCAGAGGAGGATGGGAAGACTCTACTTCTAGAGAGTAGCTTAGAGCAACATCTGAGACCCATGAGCACCTCATTCCTTAGAAGAAGGCTTGCAGAGACTGGGCAATGCAAATAAACTCAAACAGGACACTTTCAATTCTGAAATTTCAATTACTGATATTGGTATATCTAAACTCCTAATATAAAGCCACATATAATCACTAATTTTTCTAATTTTATATTTTAATAAATGAGAATATGAATCTTGACTCTAATGCTAACTTTGAGAAATTGGGAAGATTTTAAACCTCTGTGCATCTCACCATTATTTCATATACGTTGGGACAGAGAATAGCATCCTCCTGACTATTGGCAAGAATGAATGAGAGAATGTACAGGAGGAACACATATTTTAGAACAAGCACCTAGTAGGTGCTTAAAAAGTAGAAATATAGTTACTGTCATTGTTCTACGTTCTATGCTGGGATTTGCTCTGATGCACTCATATTCCCTGCGCTGGGCTGACTCTATTAAGGGAAACCCCAGATGAAGGTAGTATGAGAGCCACCTTTAAAAGCAATCCTCTCAATTCACGTCCGTGAAATGAGAAATTCATCCTTATTGACAAGAGGGCCTGTGAAAGGAAAGCATGGGAGGACTCATCACTTCAGGTAGTCCTGTCTCAGAAAGAACTCACCAGAGGGAAGCCTTTAACTTGGCACCTGAAATTTGAGGAGAGTTGTGGCAACGATGTAATGAAGGCAATAGATTCCCAACAAGGAAATAGCCTACGTGAAGATTTGTGATGTTGGAAGGAATTTGGAAGGTTAGAAATAAATTTAGAGGTATTACCTGTAAGCAGAGTGAAAGGGGTGAAAGAAACTGGAGTGTAGAGTCTGAACACACTCTCATCTACGCTTAGCTGAGCTCTTCCCCTCCCCTTCCTTATAGCTGCACCAACAGGAGAGAGTAACCCTCTTGAGGCAGCAATCATTTCATAAATGCACACCTTTTAAATAGCAAAGGACTATGACCTGGTAAGATTTCAGTGTATGCATTTGATAAATGTATTAGTGATCTAATTTCATACAGAGGTTGTACACGGCTATAGAAGAGAGGAGAAGCTCTTTCAATATTCTGATGATCCCTGTAATTAGAGTTGGGAGACAGGAAGAATGGCACTCAGGAGATTGTACCTTAAGTAAGAAAGTGCTGGGTGGGGCTGCTGGAGGCATCAGAGGAGTCTGGGGGTGGCGCTGAGTCAGGGTTGTGCTGGCCTCTGAACGTTTTAGAACCTCATTCTGCTTCTCGGGTAGTTTCAATGTCTTGGAGTCATAGATCCTCTGGTTTGTTTTTTTCTTTACCTGAAAGTATTCATTTTTCTGTTTAATGGTTTTCAATATTAGGAGAAACAGCATATCTTTTCATTCTGAGACTATCATCCTTTATTATTTTCTAATAGATGTCAGTTACCTTCAAACATAACCTGTCTCTAATGCATTGCTGCAGGAAATTGCCAAAATATTTCTTGCTAACATATAAAGTGATCAGGCATTCTTCTGCATAACATCATCCAATATTTACTTACTGATTTTTTTTTTTTTACAATAAAGAATTCATTTCTGCCTTTCTGGCAAAATGTTACTCTGTAAAGGCTGTTTTTCTATCTTTACCACCATTTTCTCATAGCTTTCGACGTATACCATGGTTGTACAGAACTCACATGGTGTTTTAGAATTTTGAGTTTTTGAATGTGATATTTTCTTTGCCTAGAAGTCTTTCCAATGTCTGTCTTTACCTTGCTAAGAACAATAGTACCTACTGCATATTGATTTCTCATAATATACAAGGTACTGACATAAGAAATACACATTCATAATCTCATTAATTACCCAAGCATCTGTTGAAGAATAGGTAAGCTACTTCCCTAATATCATATAACAAATAAGCCAGATGTACACCAGGCCTACCCTACTGCAAATCTCATGCTCTGACCACTGCGTGAAATTAGTACCCCACCGTGCTAATGTCTTTAAATGCTTTAGTATTTAGCACAACTTTCAAATTCTGTTGAAGCCTATAATGAATGTCATTTTGCTCTTTGGAAAAATAATATTTGTCTGTCTAATTCTCACCTGGATGAAACTATGTATTTTAGAAATCAGTTTTGATGTCTGGTTCTTTTTTCTCAGTCGAAAGCAGAAGAGTTGAAGTTTATCTCCTTCCTCGCAGGGAATATTGTGACATTTTCCTTTTCCCACTACTTCCATGTTTCCTGTATCATCCTGGATTTCATAGATTGTGTTGTTCTTATTTACTGTTCTCTGCAACAGAAAATCAATATCCAATTCATAAGAACATTGCTAATCACCACCATACATAAGAGAAAGTCCCTCGTGATAGGATAAAACAAGTTGCAGGCCTCAAGTGCTAGTATTATACAAACATACAGGTGTTCTCAGCCAGCCCTTCCTTGTTATCCTTTTTACGTCTTTCATGTCCTAAGTATTTCTAGTTCTATAAACAATGGGTAATCTTCCTAATTTCTACTGCTTTCACCTCTAGGACAGCTATGATTCCAAAAGCACCTGTATACACAGGAGTCTGAAATCCTAGGTGAGCTCTTTTGTCCTCTGTCCCTATGCAAAAAGGATGGTCATGTGTGACAAATATTCATTCAGTAGGTTATGAGGGATCTGTAATAAGAAGCAAGCTACTAGTAAGTCCCTAATTACTTTTTCTACCTTCACCATTTATTGGGTCTTTCCAATATCTGCTCCTCATCTTGTGCTCAGGTTCTGAGCTCAACGTTCCATTTCTTGCTCACCAAAGGTATTAATCATCAGTTCTAGAATTGTGTTAATAATGATGATCACTATAAGAGTGTGGACAGAAAATAATGCAGGTAAGATAAGGGGTTGCTCTAGAAAACAAATATAATATGTTGTGAGCTCTTGATCATACGTGAAATTACATGAATCAATAGCAGGGTATAGATGATTTCTTGGATTTGAAGGTCCTATGATAACAAGTTTCAGGAATTTGGACCTAGTAGTATCAGGAAAACTACTCTGTGCCCTTTTTTTTTTTGTTTTACTGACACATCTAAATGATGAGTTTAGATTACTTGATTTTCTAAGTATCACCTAAATTCATGCTTCTCAGGTGTTTAATACCATTTTGATGAGTGAGTTTCATTTGGTTAGAGCATCATCCTAACTTGTTGAGTGTCTTTGTTTTCTAGGCACGATCAGTCAATTGATAACTTGCTCTGACTGTAAAAACCAAAACTCAAACCTCAAAGGACAATACTTCATCCAAAATAAAAATAAAGTGATTATTGCTAGTTGAGGTAATAATTAGAAATATAACTTAAGTAGTATGTGTATATGGATCTAGACCCCACAGTGTCCTTAATCATTGTCTCTTAGAATACATAATCATAGCTGATGAAGTCTCAAGGTTTCTCAGTGAACATTTTCCTAAAAAGTTCAGGGTAACGTTTTGGGCAGAAAAACATGCGAAGGAGAATATTAATAGGTTTGCTAATTCCCAGTCTTATCCTAAGAAAAGACATTATTCACTTATCATTAGGCTTGAGTGAGTCCTGGGTTCTAACGTTCAGTAAATAGGCAAAACTGCACTTAACACCACAAAAGGCTTTTAATTTCAGGTATTGGTGGAGATACGAAATAAAAGAATTTTGAGGACTTACCTTATGTAGCGTAAATGATCCATGTACAATAGTTTCAGAAGCTTGCCTTTTAATGATATCAATCGGCAGGGTTTCCTTTGCTCTTCTTTTGATGTTGTCTGGAACCTCAATCTTTTGGTCAGGACCAGCTTCAGATACAGAAGAGGTTTCATTCACCTCTAGGAGATGGTCGTTTTCAAAATAATCTGACAAAATGATAATTCTATTTCTGGTGAATTTTCTCTTCAGGCTGATGTTGAAAACCTTCATGTGAAAGAACTGTTTCTCTGTAGCCACTGTGGCATGAAACATTGATTTCATCTCCTTTTCTGAGGACTCATATGCAAATGGGTCTGCTGCACTCAGCACCATCACCACCGTCGGGCCCTTTCGGAGATCAGGTCTTCTGGCGGTTACTTGAGAGTTGGCCCATGGTTTTGGGTTCTGTGTACAACCACACAGGAAAACAAAGGAAAATGTCTGAGTGGAGAATACAGAACCACTACTCAGTGACCTCAGTCATAACCAGGAGCCCAACAACATTTACAGAGGTTCAGAGCTGTGGCCAGGATGGATGGTTCCTACACAGGGAGGAGAGGATGTGATGAACTGTTGTCGTAGCCAGAGGATGTCACTGGGGAGACTGCATGTGTGAAAAGCAGGAGAACATCTTGTAAAAGAATAAGCCTTAAGCAGGAAAGCGTAAGAGGAACATCAGAGCAGTGGATTCTGAGAGCACTGCTATGAAGTACTTTTAAAGAAATTTTAGGACAAAATAATAAATTATAATCTCATACTTATTAGCATACAGTGTAAGAGCATAACTATAGACATATATAATTAAATAGCACTAAACATTTAAAATGGCGCCCACTGGAAACCATAGACATGAATAGGTTTCAGTTATCACCAGTGTAGACAGGGCAATTTTCAGAGTATAACTCATAGTTCCTCCACCTATTGCAGCACTCTAAGAGCAGGTGAGACTACATATGGCTCTAATGCAGTAGGATCAGGGTAGAGACGCTCTGGGGTGTGGCCTTTCCACCACCATAGCATTTCTCAATGTCAGGGCTCTAGTTAGGTAGCTCACTGTCAGAAACTTTGGGATCAGGATGATTTGTCTTTAATATCCTTTCTTTATAACATCCTGGTCTCTAACATTGCAGCAGAGCACTTTAAATAAAGGGAGATGGTTTAGTAAATAAGAAAAAATTGTGGGAGGCACAGGTGGGGCTCATCTACAATCAGCAGGCTGTGGGATGCTCTGGCCTGGGATACCACACACAGTGATCACCTATGGATGACCAGACTTTATGGAATGTGACTTCTCATGAACTTGACCAGTTCAACCTAACACAGGAAAGTCCTTTCCCCAATGCAAGTTAATGAGTAACAGCAGACTCATACCTGAGATTATTAATAGTAACAGTAATATGTAAACTTATAAGGAGTCACATGAATACAAGTCATACATGAAGGAAATTGTACAACTACTTAGAGAGACATAATAAGACAATATATTGTATGAAACAGTTTTTAGAAAATTGTATGTATGTGTATGTACTTACATAGGAGAAAATCTGAGAGGTTATATGAAGTTATATAAAAAATGTAGCATAGTATTATGTTGTAATAATTATGCTGGATTGTGTAATTTCTAGTAATTTAAATGTAAGTATTTTGTGCTTGATTGCCAGGTTTTCTGACTTCAGTACTTTTTTCTGAAATAATCTTATATTAAGGCAAAATCTGTTATGAGAAAGAAAGGACAGAGAAGACTTATTGACACTACAGGAGTTATCCTATAACTTCAAGGAGAGAATTATCCCCAACTCATTCTATGAAGCCAGTACCACCTTGATACCAAAGCCAGAAAAGAACACAACAAAAAAGAAAACTAAAGACCAATATCCCTTATGAACATAGATGTAAAAATCCTTAATAAATACTAGCAAACTGAATTCAACAGTATATGAAAAAAATAATCTACCAGGACCAAGTGGGATTTATCCCAGGGATGCAAGGATGGTTCAACATTTGGAAATCAATAAATGTGATTCACAACACAAACAGAAGCAAAAACAAAGACCATATGTTCATCTCAATAGATGCAGAAAAAGCACTGTACAAACTCCAGCACCTTTTCATGATAAAAGCCCTCTACAAACGAGGCATGGAAGAAATAAATCTCAGTATTTTAAACACCCTATTTGAAAGACCCACAGCCAACATCATACCTAATGGGGAAAATTTGAAAACATTCCCCCTAAGAACTGGAGTGCTACAAGTGTGCCCACTGTCACCACTTCTATCCAACGTAGTGCTAGATGTCCGAGCCAGAGCAATCAGGCAACGGAAAGACATAAAGGGTATCCAAATTGGGAAAGAGGAGGTGAAAGTATTGCTTTTTGTTGATGATATGATCTTGTATCCAGAGAGCACCAAACACTCGAACAACAGGCTCCTGGATTTGATAAATAAATTCAATGAAGTCTCAGGTTACAAAATCAGTGTACATAAATCAGTAGCATTTCTATATACCAATAACAGTCAAGCTGAAAATAAAATCAAAGACTAAATACAATTCATGATAGCCAGAAAGAATATGAAATGCCTAGGAATATACTTAACCTTGGAGGTGAAAGATCTCTACAAAGAGAACTATGAAACACTGAGGAAAGAAATCTCAGAGGAAATAAACAAATGGAAAAACATATCATGTTCATGGATTGGTAGAATCAACATGTTAAAATGCCCATACTACCCAAAGTATTTTACAGATTCAATGCAATCTCCATCAAAATACCAATATCATATTTTACAGATCTATAAATAATAAATTTACACTTCATTTGGAACCAGAAAGGAGCCCAAATAGCCAAAGAAATTTTAGGCAGAAAGAACAAATCTGGATATATCACATTATAAGACCTCAAACTATACTACATGGCTATGGTAACTAAAACATCAGAGTACTGATACAAAAATAGAGACATAGACCAATGGAACAGAATAGAGAATCAAGATATAAAACTATCCACCTGCTGCCAGCTGATCTTTGACAAAGCAGTCAACAATACACACTAGTGAAAAGAAGCCCTATTTGATAAATGGTGCTGGGAAAATTGGATAACCATATGCGGAAGAATGAAACAGGACCCCTACGTCTAACCACTCACAAAAATTAATTCAATGGATAAAATACTTAAATGTAAGGCATGAAATAATAAGAATTCTAGAAGAAAATACAGGGAAAACTTCCAAATATTGATCCAAGCAAAAAATTTATGACTAAGACCACAATGGCAACTACAACAACAAAAATCAATAAATGGGATTTGATTAAACTGAAAAGCCTCTTCACATCTAAGGTAATAATCAACAGAGTCAACAGACAACCTACAGAATGGGAGAAAATGTACGTACACTATACATCTGATAAAGGGCTATTAATCAGAATCTACAAAGAACTCAAGCAAATAAGCAAGAAAAAAACAACTCCATTAAAAAGTAGGCAAAAGTTGTGAACAGAAGCTTTTCAAAAGAAGCTAGATAAATAACCACCAAACATGAAAAAATGCTAAATGTCACTAATCATCAGGAAAATGCAAATTAAAACCATGATGAGGTTTCATCTTTCCCCTGTTAGAATGGCTTTTATTAAAAAGTCCAAAAACAATAGATGCTGGTGTGGATACAGAAAGAAAGGAACATTTATGCACTGCTGGTGGGCCCCAAAATTAGTATAATCTCTATTGAAAACAGTATGGAGATTTCTCAAAGAACTAAAAGTAGACCTATCATTTGATCCAGAAATCCCACTACTGGGTATCTACTCAAAGGAAAATAAGTAATTTTTATCAAAAAGACACCTAATTGTACTTGAATGTTTACTGTAGCACAATTCACAATTGCAAAGATGAGGCATCAACCCAAGTACCCATCAATTCATGAGTTGATTAACAAAATGTGGTACATATATACTATGGAGTACTACTCAGCCATAAAAAGAATTAATTACTTTTCCAAAAATCTGGATAGAACTAGAGACCATCATCCTAAGTGACGTATCTCAAGAATGGAAAAACAAACACCACATATACTCATTATTGAATTGAAACTAACCAATGAGCACACATGTGCACAGAGGGAAGTAAAACTCAGTGGAAATCAAGCAGGGGAGGGGGAGGGGAAAGGCGAAGAGGGGTAAAAACCCACCTAACAGGTACAATAAACACTATTCAGGTGATGGGCACACTTATAGTCATGAGTGAAACATTACAAAAGCTGTCCAGCTAACAAAAACATTTGTATGCCTTTAATTAGTATGCCTTTAATATTTTAAAATAAAAAAGCTAACAAATAAAAATTATTTAAAAAGGAAAGAATTGAGCATTTTCTAGCTATGGCTGATGTTTTCATTTCATCACTTATGGCCAATCATACTCTATCCATTTCATTGTGTATGAAAGAAACATAAATCACTCATTTTTAGAATAAAGCTCATTGGAGTTTCAATTAGTTATTAGACACTTCCTGATGTGTGCATGTATAGCAAAGGCTGGCCTTTCCAAATGTGACAAGAAAACAACTTCATAAGTATTCTCAGAAACATGAAATTATAAATCACAGTCATTTCCTTTCATTTCCGCATCATAGTATACGGTGGTCCTTCAGCCTACATTTTCCTAAACTCCTCAGCTCCACTCTGTATTCCATTACTTCCTTTTGTCTCTGAAACTTTGGGCCTCACGATACATACTACATCTCTTGCATCAAATGATCCTTATTTACTCTCTCCTTATCTGTTCTGATTCATATCTCTGGACTTAGTTTTCACTTTTTCATTGAGTAATGTATTTACTGAGAGCTTCCTATGAGGCAGACACTGATGTAGGCTCTGAGATACACTGGTCCACAGACTGACAATGGAGTCCTAATGTTGGAACTCAGAGTAAGGCAGGAAAGATAAACATCTCTTAATTTCAATTGTCATAAATAGTAGAAGAGAAAGAAGGGAGTTTCTACCACAGAGAGCACCATGAAGTTTTCACCTAAGTCACTGGGGTCTAAGTGAACATTTCCTGAGGACAAGATATCAATAAAGAAGTAGAGTAGGGTTGGCCAGGTAAGAGCTCTCCGGGTGAAAGTAAAGTGCAATGTGAAAATCCTGAAGTAGAAAGGAGCATGGTGTTAGTCAAAGAAATTTAAACAGATTAGTGAGCATAGGGAAGAAGTGAGAAAGATGCTAGTGCAGTGGACAGTGAACCAACTGCTGTATCCCCCTGTATCGTTATGGACCCTACACCTCTCTCTCCCTCCCCCAGACAACTCAGGACAGAAAATATTCTGCACTCAAAGATAATATCAGGTTCATCCATATCCCTGTGGAAGCAAAAACTTTAAATGTAGTGAATTATCAATATATACATTTGATTAACTTGCTAATTATTTATGCAATTTTTAAGTGGAAGTTGAGATAAGATTTCTGCATTTGTAATAGAAGAAATTGAAGCAAAGGGGACCAGGAAGGGCATACCTCAGGTGGGGAAGTGTTGGATGGAGCTGATGAGGTCTGGGGAGGTGGGGGATGGCCCATGGGTGTGAACATGCTGACTCCTGCAGGACAGGGAAACTGAGTCTTCTCCTCTGACACCTTAATCCTTTTGGTCCTGTCCTTTCCTTCGGCTGCACTTTTTCTTTTCTGAAAGTAGTTTGATTTTCCTGTTATTCACTTTCAATATCAAATGAAGTAGAGCACATTTTCATTCCTGGGAAGTTGTCTTATTATACCTATCAATGTGATTCATGGAAACTAGAGGCAGTTCTACCCACTTCTGGTCAGTAATATATGGTTTCTTTAAACAAAGGAAGAGGAGAAAGTTATGCAAATAATTTCATTTCTCTAATTTCCTCTGTGAGGTACGTGCTGACTTGAAAGTAGAAAAACTAAGGTTTTATAAACACGAGCAAAGCATTTTCCCATCTGGTTCTCAAATTACCACTCCTCTCTACTGTGAGTGATAACATATGTAGGTTATATATATATATATACATTATGTGTACTAAAGTTTTTCCTTTATTACCTTGCATAAAAGAAGATGATCAATTATTAGGCAATTTGCTGGGAAACTCATGAAGCCATCATCACTGTCTGATGCAGAGCTTGAGTGCAAGAGCTTAGCAGAGTTTCCTCTGTGGGACGTGACACCTGTTCCTCTTGTTCAATCTTACCTGATGTCCAGGAGTCACCTCTGCTCCTTGAGATGTGAGAACTTTGCTTGTGGAGGGGGCAGGTGTAGCAGGACCCTCTTCTTTCTGCTTCCTCTTCTCTGAAGGGGTTGTTCCCTTTTCTGGTGTGGATTTGATTTTATTCATAACTAATGCAGAAAAAAGAAGAACATATAAACCCAGAGCTGATGGTCTCAGAAAGCTGAAGCAGTTTGCATCCTAATACCTCTCAACTGCTGCTGAGGACTCAGGTGTGCTCCACTGCATCAGCCCAGCTTGGCCTCAGGGGACCAGCAGTCAACAGCACAGGTACCATCACTGTCTCATGCTCCTCAGTGCTTCCCATCCCCTACAACACCCTGGCACTGAGCACCTCCTCCCCGTCCTCTGAACTGCATGTGATCAGTCAAGCCCTTTCCCAATCCTGCTCTCTTATCATTTCCTTTTAAAATCGAAGGTTCTCGTGATGCTGACCGCTAGTTCATGTTCTCCAGATAATCCATTCAAATGACAGAAACCAGTGAATGGAAATGGAAATGTGGTATAGGTTTGTGAGGTGAGGTATGGTGATTTGGGGTCTTGACCTTTAAAAAAAATATATATATATACATACATTTTAACTCAGAGATTTTTACAACAGAGAAAGTCTTCACACTTCTTAGAGCTAGGCTTACACTTAACTACTACCTCTTTTTTTATTATAAGGGGTAATGATATCTTAAATAGTCTCAACAGGACACATACATTAATTGGTTAAATGTGTATATTTCAAATTTAAACTACAAATTTAAAGTTGTTTTTGTCATTATCTAATCTTTCTAATGTACTAGACATCTCAATCTCTCTTCAACTCCCTCTCACTTCTTTTCTTTCACTGCATACTAAATACACCCTGCAAAATACAACAATCTGCATGTGAAATGGAATGCTCTAAGTTGTTAACTTGTTGGCATCGGAAGTACCAACATTACCAAGGTCACTCAGTACCAAACTGCAGCAGGGATGTAGCAACTATGTCCAAGGTGAGGTTCTAGTTAGAACAGACAGTGGCAGGGAGGCAATGTTCCCTGTTCCCTGTTCCCTGTTACCTTTTGCCTTTTCTGCTCTAAGTTTTTCTGCAATGGGTTGAAGTGCTGTTACATCTTTGCAGAGTTTTATAAATTTATTCACACCAGCGTCATGTTCGAACTCTTTTATCATCAAATTAGCAATCTTTACTTTGTCATATTCTTCTTGCATTTTTGCAGACAGCTTTAACGTTTTGGCCAGTAATAACTTAATCATTTTAAACTGATATTCGTTGCACTCCTCCAATCCATTAAGTAGAACAATTTTCCACCGTTCATTGGCCATGTCTAAAGACATGGGTGAGCATGCAAGAGAAAAATGACACACAAAGTTACACACTCATACAGACAATTTAAATGACTGTTTATGCCTACTTGATTGAGGAGCCCATATGAAGGTATTGTCTACAGATGTGTGTGATAAAGAGGGACTTAATGACCATATATGACACTGTGGACATTGGGTTGAAAACTGCCGTATTAGGAATGCCTATGAAATTCATCCTGTTTAATAAGGACAGTTGAGCTGTGTACAAGCGGGTGTGGCGGAAGGAGGTGTGGAAACAGGCCATTGTGACAGTGTTTAGAGCATGGGCTGTGCAGGGCCAGAGTTTCTGGTCCCCCATCCTACCCTTGACTGGGTCTGGACCCCATCACCCAATGCCTGCCTGTTGATTTCTGACTCTTCTCATGCCTACTGACCAAACTAGTTTTAGTGTAAATGGTCTGCAGCCTCCTACTTTATACAGATACCCTTCTGAGATTCTGAGCTGGAGTCCCAATCCGAGTCCCCTTGTCTCTTCCCTCGTCAGCTCTCACCAGTATCCCGTCTGCCTTGGTGTTGACCATGTCCTCCGTGCCCTTAATACTACCACTGTGCACCTCCCTGCTCTCTCCTGCAGCGTCACACGCAATTTATTGGCTGAAATGATTTCATTAGCTGCTTTTTTTTTTTTTTAGGCTTGATTTAACTTTTTAGTTCTTTTCCCAGAGCAAGTTTTCTCTCTATAAGCCATGTTTTTATCCCACTGAAATCCTTCAACATTTCCCCATTCTCATTTCAAAAAGTTTCTTACTCCTAAAATGTCTCAGAAGAACCTGAATATCTGCATCTTTTTTACTTCTGGTACTTTTGTATTCCTTATATCCTATGCTTTGTAAATGTACAACACACCTTGTGTTTTCACGCTTCATGATTTTTCTAATTCCTTTCTCACTGTCTGGAAAGCCGATCTTACATTTCTTTCTCTGACTACCTCCCGTACAACCTTTCAGTCTCACTGGAGGCTTTGTCTTCTGCAAGCTTCACCCAGAGTCCTAATATAGACCAGGTCCCACGTGGACTCACCTGGACATATTTAGCACTCTGTGTACTTCCTTGTTGATGCACAGTGCATGGTATGGATTCCAATTATCTTTTTAAGTTAATGAACATTGTTAGATTAAGAATCACGTCTTTGCATATGTTTTGTATAATTGGGATATTTTATTAATAATTCCTGGCACTGTTATTTGCTTCCTTCTTGGGAGAACATGAGCATCCTCAGACTGAAAAGGCTCATAGAATGAAGTGACAATCCATACAAAGACATATTATAATGAAACTGAAGAATATTAGATACAAAATGACTATTCTGGAAGCCTCCAGAAATGAAGAGAAGATCACCCACAAAGATTCAAGGATTGGATTGAAATGGATTCTCAACAATAAAACTGTCTACAGTAAAACAATAGAGTAATATTTATATAATTCTCTTCCAAAATCTCTTATGTATAGGAAAACCAAAAAAAAATTTAAAAATAGAAAGTTTTGATTTTTATTGTGAATATAAAAATAATTTATTTGCAAAATAAAAGCAAATGTGATGTGACAGGAGGCTATGTATTAATATAATATTTATTCCACTTAAATGTGAGTGTCCATATGTTTTTTTATGAAACATTATGATTTTGATTTTGTAATAATGAATCAGATCCCAGTGGAGTTTCTAGTAATATAATATTTAGAATATATGCATTAATAGCCCCTCCAAAGCCTCCAAATTGTGAATTTCAAACAAACGTCTAATTGCGTAGGTATGGAAAAGGTGTTCTCCACTGGTTTTGAGGATAAAGTAATTTTGAAATCAGAATTTTAATCTAGACAAAATACATTCAAACAGAAGATCCTCAATAACTCTTTTCTGATACTGAAGACCTCAGTATTTTTGCAAGACAAAGACTTCCATGAACACATCTATTGCAAGTAATATTCAACAAGAAAAGAATAAATAAAATTAATAAATAATGCAGACCAAAAGATAGATGGGGAAAATGAACTTAAGTGTGCCTATGACTTAAAAGGAAAACCATGATTGAAGAGAAGAGAAACAGAAAGTATACTAATATAGTGAAGAGAAGAAGGAAAATGAATATAACAATTTGCTAATGAGTTTGTCTTAGAGGGTAAGACAGAGGTATAAGTTAAAAAAGGAAGACAAACAGAAGATTATGGAAGTGTCATAAATCAAATATAGCTGATAGTTAATAGCAGCATATACTTAACATCAGTTAAGTGACAATTTATCAAATATGATTTAGGAAATCTACATATATGTTGCTAACAAATGATCACTTAAAAGTAAAAAAATTTAAAACATTGTCTTGCAAAGAGAAACTAAAAGAAACCATTTTATCTGTGTTAGTGTAACTCTTAATAGACTATAAGACAAAAAGTAATTTCCAATACCTAATAATGATAAAAAGTTAAACTATTGGGAAAATACAAGTTGGATTATGAATTTATCTTATCATAAATATATATTAATTGTTACTTTATAGTCCTTAATGGTCCCGTAATTAGTATTATATATTTATTTCCATACATACACAGAAATGCACACATAACCCTACATACATATATATTTATAAATATATATTTATAAATATATATTTATAAATATATAAATATATATTATTAATATATATTTATATATGTGTACATGTTTTAATACATGTGTACATGATTACACATACATATAATACACATTATATATGTGTGTGTGTCAGCATATCTATACACTATAAATTTGAGAGCATTACTTGTAATAACAATTTTATGATAGGATAGCAGTATATCTCTCAATTACTAAATGAAAAAGGTAAAAAAATTGTAAAGACATAAATAATTCTAACAGTATAATTGAAAAATTAACAAGATTTATCTAACATTTGTGAAATTTAGAAATCAACATTTATAATCTGACATTCTATTCAAGCACAATAGAAATAAATATTGTACCATGCTATGTAAAAAGTCTTTTAAAAATTCTAAAAGTTGGCAACAAAAAATCTTTTTTTAATTGACTCCATCACCTTGCCACCAGACAAAAAAAATCATTAACTTTCGGGAGGGCATAAAGTAATCCCAAAATGACCAAAATGCTGCCTTGAAAAGTTGGTGTAGAATGGAGGTAAAGTAAAAGTTATACATATTTATGAAAATGCTAAGACGACACTTATTGGAATATCTGTGTTTGTGAAACTGAGAAATTTTCTACCATGTGTGCATTTGTTCTTATGTTTTGTAAAATTGGAATAATACCATAAGATACAGCTCTATGTCCAGATGTAATCTTTTTCCTGATACTATTTCATAACTGTTCACACCACTGTCTTGTCTTTTACCCAAGCCCCACCACAGCCACTGAGTTCCTGAGCACCCTCCAGCAGGAACGAGCAAAGTCTTTTTCCAAACTACAACTTATGTTAATAGACGCTCAGAAAATCAATTTTAAAATCTGCAATGGTCAAAATGCATTTCCACTTTTCCGGACCTCAGTTGTGATGGAATTAAAAGTGTCTATCTTCCTTCTAAGTCAGTGAAGGATTAGAATGGAGCAACTGCAGTTTTCAGTTTCCTGAGTACAGCTGACATCACCCTTACTCCCCTTCCCCCGCAGCTGGAAGAACCAATCCTCATTTTCTCCTTGTGATCTTATGGATATCAAGGAAAAACACAGATCTTCTCTACACATAATACCCACAGGACTCACCTCACTGCAAATTTTTCAACATTATTTCAGATCTTGAGATCTTCAGAATTGCAGGAATCAACGCTTGTTTTGAGTAGAGAGATAAATCAGTAAAGCTCTCAGAAACTGAGCTGCAGGATGTTATAAATCTCCTGAAACGCTAAGAAAATGAAGCGTTCACAAAAACAACTAGGAGAAAAGGCCCCGGATAAAGTCCACTTAATAACTTGACTAGTGCCGGCTGTCTCACACTGTGCTGTTGCCCCAGGAAAGAGGAGTTGTGAAACTGTGTTGAGACTCCACCCATCAATGTTCTTAGCTTTCGATTCTGTTTCTCTCAGTTGGGGAAAATAACCAACTTCCTTCCTGTAATTATCTTTACTAAAATAAAAGGGGAAAGGGTAGAGAGGGGAGTGGATGATGAGAAATTACTTAATGGGTGCACTGTATATTATTTGGGTGATGCAATAAAAACCCTGGCTTCACCACTGTGCAATATATCCAAGTGACCAAGTTTCAATTGTACCCCATAAATTTGAACAAATAAAAAAAATTAATTATTTTTATTTATTTATTTATTTACATTTTCAATAGCTGAAGGATGCCCAACATTAGAACCTTCTTATCCAGCAGTCTCACACGTGGGTCATTGGAGACGTAAATACCCTTGAATGACCTTCAAATAAAAGAGAAGCAAAGTGAGCCACCCGGCCACGTCTCCCTCCTTTCCTACACACTAGTGGGGTGGCAGGATATCTTGGCAGGATCACCTATTGTTAGCAGCACTTGACTGTGTGGCCCAGATGCGGGAATGTGTGCTATGGAATCACTGTTGGTTTAAAATAGTACCTGAAGCATTCACCCAGTTATTGGTTGACAAACTTGGGGCTTGCCAGATCAGAAGATTATTATGAACATGTACATTCTTCCTCAAATATATATAAAGGAGTTTGACACTAGCTGTCCTCTTGACTATGACTAGGCTACTTTACCTCAATGGTTCATGTTTACTCATGCTGTCTGCATTTTTCATGGATGAAAACAAGTTTGAGAGTATCATGACAGCATTAAAGTCTTGAAAATTGCGGGAGTGTACTGAAATTCTGGTTCAGTGAAGAGCCTGTTAAATCCTCTGTTCAGCCTTGTTTCTTCTGCCGAGGACAGTGGGTGAGGTCATGTGTAACCCCACATGTCATATAAATAGCACCATCCAGCAGATGGTGTTGTAATCTGATATGCAAGCAGGATGTGGCCACGTGTGGCACAAGGGGCTTCAAAAACAACTCTTACAGACAAGTGATCCAAGGCCATCTATGCAGCAGAAGAAAGCTGATTGTTTTAATCCAAACTAGGGCTACAGAGGGGATAGATGAAGTATGGATTTGAAAGCATATGAATGCCTTTACCAAAGCAAGAGTAAGTCAAGAAAAAACAAGGAAGATCTGGAGTGATGGTCACGAACACCTTGGGTGTTCTTGATTTTTTTTTTTTTTTTTTTACAGACTTCAGATTGTTGCTAAAATGGAAGCTTGGAGCTAGTCTTAAAGTACATGGTAGAGAGGGATGTGAGGGAGGTAAGAGAGGACCCAACCAGAGGTCAGAGGATAGAGGATACCTGGCAGGAATGACCATGTCTCAGGCCATTTTTTGCCTCTTTTTCTTTGTAATCATTTCATTTGGGGGAATGCCTTCAGTTGAGACTTCGGCATACAACACAAACATTACTGCCACCAATAAAGACAATTCAAAAAAATGCCCTGTAATCTATATTGTGCAGGTGGAATTTAATAGATGAAGCGAAGAAATGCTAAAAACTTTGCATTTTTCCTGACTCTGAGGCAGTGCCCAAACAATTGGTCATTTGTGCCATCACACAAAAAGCTCACTAATACAGCATAGAAAACCACCTGATATGAGGAAAATGTCTGGAAGAAGCTGCATGACTTTTTATCATCCAAAGTACTAATTCCCTGGGTCATACAAAGTCCTCAGGAAAATTTCCCACCAGATTTATGTCCCACCCAAGATATTGGCAAATTACTGTCTGGGGGAAAATACTAATATAGCCACCACTTGCATTTTTAAATAAAGTTTTGTTGAAACAAAGCTATGCCTACTTATTTATGCATTGTCAAAATCTGTGTCATGGTGCAACCGTGGAGTTGACAAGCTACAGGAGAGTTCATCTGGTTGCAGAGCCTAAAGATTTTACAATATGGCTCTTCATACAAAACGTTTGTCACCCAGTACCCGGCCATCAGTCTAAGAGACAGCAGAAAGACGCTAAGGAGAAAAGCAAGAGTAGTAGAAGAGCAATCACATGAAGAAATCATAGTCAGAGATTTTAAAGTCTATTGTAGGCCTATGGATAAAGACTTATGATAAGTTTTATCTAAGAGAGAAAAATGGAAATGGAGAGTATTAAAGCCCTTCTCCAATTGATTATCCCTAAGGACCAGAATAAAACCCACTAGTATGGGAGCTTCAGTTAGCAAAAGTGACTTATACATTCATGATGAAATCCGCCATTTGAACAAGGTGTCTCCTCATTTGCCTTCTCAAGGAAATAGACGTCTCCTCCTCAAGAAACAGAGGAGGGTGATTGAGTTTTAAATGATTAACCAATCTGATACCCCTTAGAACACTTTTTCATAATGTATTATGATTTATTAAATATTGATAGGTTTAATTTTTAAATATTTTAAAAGTATTTTTGAATTTATTTTCATGAGGCAAACAGCCTTTTTTTCTTTTTGTGTAATATCTGTTTGATTTTGGTATGACAGTGATATTGGTATTTCTAAAAGAATGTGTTTAGGATTGCTAATATTTTCTCCCCAAATATTTGACAGAATTTATCAAGTGTCTAATCCTAAAACTTTCAGTGTAGGAAGATTTGTGGTTATAACTTCCTTTTCTATACAGATATTTATTTCTTTTATTTCTTTATGAGATAGTTTTATTATTTGTTTTACAGGAATTTTGTCCTTTAGTTCTAAGTAGCCAAACATACTGGCATAAGTTGTTTTTAATATTATTTTATTTTATTTTATTTTAAATATTTTATTATCTGTAGTGTCATTTGTTTACATTCTTGGTATTGGTCATTTATATTTTCCTTCCTCATTTTTCTAAATTATTCTTAGTAGGCAGACTTTATCTTAGGAGAATGTTTAGGAAAACACCAAGTCAAGAAGGGAGACAAACGACGCTAAAGCTATTTGAAGCCTTTGGCACTTACAGCTAGAGCATATGTTAAACAGTGTTCTAATATGCAGATAGACTAACAAGCAATTTCATACTAATGGTCTATTTATTAATATTTCAATCCATTTTTCTACACATTTAGGGGATACAAGTGTAGTTTTGTTACCTGGATATATTGCATAGCTGTGAAGTTTGAATGAGAACTAAGTACTTAGGAATAAACTGAAAGAAGGTCAAAGATTTCAATGCTACAAAGTACAATACACTGATGTATTAAGAATTAAAAGGTGATACAAATAACTGTAAATACATACCATCTTCATGGACTGGAAAACTTAATAATGTTCAAATATCCTTATATACAAAATGATTACAGATTAAATGCAATCACTATGAAAATCTCAATAACATTTTTTTACAGAATAGGAAAAAAAAATCCCAGTATTCATATGAAACCACAAAAGACCCTGAATAGCCAAAACAATCTTCAGACAAAAGAACAAAAGTGAGGACATCACCCATTCTCATTCTGAAATATATTACAAAGCTACAGTAATTAAAATAGTATGGCACTGTCATAAAGACAGACATATAGAGCAATGGAAAAAAATAGAAAGCCCAGAAATAAATCCATGCATAAATGGTCAACTGATTTTCAGCAAGGGTACCAAGAATATTCATTGGGAAAAAATAGTGTCTACAACAAAATGGTGTCAGGGAAATGGGATATCCACATGTAAAAGAATGAAATTAGGTTCTTATCTTGTACCATACATAAAAATCAACTCAACAGTAAATTAAAGACTTAAATGTAAGACCTGAAAATATAAAACTTCTAGAAGAAAACATAGGGAAAAAGTTTTCCGACATAAGTCTTAGCAGTCATTTGTTGTATATGACCCAGAGCATAGTCAACAAAAGCAAAAATAGTGAAGTGGGACTGCAAAGAACTATAAACTTTATGCATAGCAAAGCAAGAAGTCAACAGAGTGGAAAGGCCATCTATGGAATGGAAGAAAATATTTGCAATTTATCTGATAAGAGGTTAATATGCAAAATAAATAAGGACCATCTACAAAGCAATAACAAATGAATAATTATAACACAATTAAAAATGGGCAAAGGATTTGAATATAAATTTCTCCAAAAAAGACATACAAATGGCAAACAGGTATATGAAAAGATGCTCCATGTCAGTAACCATCAGGGAAATGCAAGTCAAAACTACAATGTGATACCACCTCACACTTATTAAGGTAGCTATTATATATATATATAAAAAAAAAGATAACAAGTGTTGATGAGGATGTGGAGAAATTGGAACCCTTGTGTATTTTTGGTGGGAATGACAAATGGTACGGCCACTATCGGAAACAGAATGGAGGTTTCTCATGAAATTAACAAAAAAATGCCGTATGATCCAACATTTTCACTTCTTGGAATTTATCCAAAAGGATTGAAATCAGGATCTTAAAGAGATATTATCCCTTCCATGCTCATGGCAGCATTATTCAAAATAACAAAGATGTGGAAACAAGCTAAATGTCCCATTGACAAATACATAGGTAAAGAAAATGTTGTGTGCATATACTGGAATATTGTTTCTTTTTTTAAATAAAAGACAAATTTTTAATAGTTGACAACATGGACGAATCTTGAGGACATTATGCTGAATATAATAAGCCAGTCAGAGATGGATAAATACTGCATGAGTCCACATATATAAGGCATCTAATATAGTTAAACTCACAGAAGCAGAGGGTAGAATGGTGGTTGCTGGGGGGCTGGATGAAGGGGGAAGTGGGAGTTGCTATTCAATGGGCATAAAATTTCAGTTATTCAAGATTTATAAGTTCTATAGATCTGCTGTATGACATTGTGCTTATAGGTAATGATACTGTATTTTAAACTTGAAATTTGTTAAGTGGTTGATCTTATGTGAAATGTTCTTATCGCAATAAAAAGATACATGCCTCACTAAGTTTTAGAGAAATGATATTTCTGATATAACTGGGTATGCTGCTTCTAATCATAATCATATTCTGATACTCCAGCAATTCTCCCAGGGAT